TAGGGCCTTCCCACCAGACATGCACTTCTAATTAATTAAAGAGGGTGGAGTGGCAGTCATGTTCCTTCCAATTCCAGTGGGCCAAGGCTGTGTTTCAAGTGTGCTTGGCCGCTGGAAGTGCTGGCTTAGGAATCTTGTTTCTTTCTGATTTTCCAGAAAAATACTGAAAGCCATGGATGTTCTTGCCCTCCACGACCTCTGAAAGCCACATTTGTCCTCAAAGAAGAGTCAGCATCAGGCTGCAGAATGGTCTGAGGGATGTGGCTGGCAGTCCTATAGCCTTGCACTGAGAAAGCTGGAGTTTACGAGGGCTGGGACTCCATGTCCTGAGCAATGTCTTGTACCCTCACCACGCTGTCCCTTCCCCTCTTGGGTTTTTAGGTAGCCATTCTGTAAAACGTTAGGGCAGGCAGCATGGGGACTCTGGTGTGGGCACTCAAGGCCGAACCTCGGCAGCACCAACAATGGTGTTCTCATCAAAGGCATTAACCTCCTCTTTCTCAAGGTTGCTGCTCGCCTATTTATAGAACTGACCAAGTGAAGTCGACCAGTTGCCTGCGAAAAAGAATACAAATGATGCTGATGCTCACTGCAGCGATTCTCTTTTTCCTCGTTTTCCCTTCTGACTTCTCAGACAATGCCTTTCTGTGGATTCCTCTCCATGGAGAGTACCACAGGGAGGTGGAAAGAGGCTCTTCTGTCTGCTGAGCACCTACTGTGTACATAGGCCTGGATTTCATGTCCACAGTCCCATTTGTCCCACATCACCCCAATAAGGTGTGGTCTCTCTCCCTATTCACACATATTGCTTTGAGAGGGCAAGCCACTAGCCCAGTGCCTCTCAGTAGATAAGTGCAGTTTGACCCTTTCTTCTAGCCTGGGCAATCTATGTACTCATTCCATTATCGTCCCCTGGCTGTATGATGGTACCTATGGTGGTTGTGATTTCTTGTGGGGTGCTATTTACGCTATCACCCAGTCAGGCCAGTCAAATGTTTTTTCAGGACCTATTATTGTGTGACAGCCCAAGCTTTGTCTCTCATCGGTCTGCAGGTGTTGTGGAGACAAATTTTATATCAGGAACAATATCTTACCTCATCAGGCACAGGTGTCATGAAGTTCTACTCTGTGCTGAGTGATGCCTTACCTGTAAGCAGACCACAGGTGTCATTGAGGCCTACCATGCTTCCTGGTGATGCCTTGTCCCTCAGCAAGGACAAACATCTTGAGGACCCATTGTGTGAGCGCTCATACCTTATTTTTACCAGGCTATAATCTCCTTGAGGACCTACTGTATACCAGGAGCTGCGTTGTCTCCCCAGGCACAGCCTGTCACTTATCTGACCCAACTGTTGTGAGATCCCACTGTGCACTTGGCAATACTTCATCTTTCAAAGCATAAGAGCCTACTGTGCACAAGGTAGTAATTTGTCCCTTGACAGGCCTGGTACACAGTAGGTTCTTGGTTGGGCCTTGCAGGGTGATTGACCAGGCTTAATTTCACCATATGCCATGGGATGGAGGACTCCTGCTGGTCACAACGGCACTGGACAGGGGAGCTTTGTCCTTTTGGAACAGGGAGCAGCAGGCAGGGAAGAGGGTTCAGGAAGATGAGGGCACAGAGGATGTAGGCAGCCTCCGCTTCTGCTGATCTTACCTGTACCTGGACACTCACTTTCTGTTTTGCTGGAGCAAAAACACACCCTTCCCTCCTGCACCTTCAACTTAACTTAAGGTTTGATTTTTCCCCACTATTCCATGAGGGGAGCCATGGGGAATACTCAAGAACACTGTAAATCTTTCCCTGCTCATCATCTCAAGAACCCTTTCTAAGAAGAGGTTTGGAGAGCTGCCATGCTCATTACCCCTCCACCAGGGCCTAGCATTTGCCTGTGGAGGGGAGAGCTAGGCCTCACCCCCTGGGAGAGCCAGGACCCCAATCTGTCTGAAGGAAACCTCATCCCTCACCCCAATTGTTCCTTGAGGATTGTGGAGTTCATAGAGCTCGGAGAAGCAGATTGGGATAACAGTTTAGTTCCCCCAAGTGTTGTGTCTTATTTTCTTATATTGAAAGCAATGTGCGTTAATAGTAGAACATTTGGAAAACATTGCAAAAAAGGAAAAGCAAAATACCAGCCACTGGCAATCCCACCCAGAGGGAGGTGCTGGTGGGCATTGGTGCGTTCTAATGTTTTGTTTACTTGCATGATTTTTCTCCCGACATAACTGAGATTGTGCTAGAAGCCATGATTTGTAGCCTGTCGACCCCACTTAACATCAGAATACGTCATGTCCGTGGTATTGCAAAGCCTCACTCAGTGCACTCTTCCTGAAGTCCAGGACCTGAAGAAACCTTCACTGAGTCAGACCAGTCCCAACTGTGGGGTGCATTGTCAACTGGAGCTTCCTTAGTAGACCATTACACAGTGGGTGGCTGCTTGCATTTCCTGAGGCTGGAGCCTCAGGCAGCATGTGGGTATGATCAGGTGACCTGCCAGGCTTGCAAAGGGCCATTTTTCTTCCTGTGTCCTATATAGAGGAAAGGAAGCAAGCAAGCTCTGGTATGTGTACCCAGCCTTGGTGTAGAACCACTGATCTCATTATGAAAACCCTTTCCTCATGGCCTCATTCCCCTAAAGGCCCCATCCTCACATTCACTAAAATAGTGTCTAAAATTGGGGGAAGCTACAAACTGGTACTCCCAACATGAAGTATGTTGGCTGTTAATCCAATACAAAGTGACTGTCTCCCAGAATCCATGCCTTCATCTCCATTACAGGTGCATTGTAGGAAAGCAATATGACTGACCTCATCTTCTACCCCAGGGCATAGACTTTGGTTTACTCCCTACTCCTTGAGTTTCTCCATCTACTGGAAAATTGTACAGCAAAGATGGTATCTACACTTGGAATTAGTAGCCGTGTGAAAGGAACCCCTTACTGTGCATGTGGGCACTGAGTGTTTGCCCTTCCTCACAGAAGTGGTAGGTCCCTCTCCACCCATCATTGCAAGAGTTAAGTTTGTAGGAAGAAATGAAGGATGAGAGTTTAGACACTTCAACAGCTAGAACCACTTTATTTTTCCTAAGAGGTGTTGTCTCAAGATCTGGCTGCACCGTGATTAAGGTACAGGACCAAGCAGCAATGGCCAGAGTTCAAGAGACCACAGATTGCACACTTCAAGCTGGGGATTTTGTAGTTAAGGAATAGGGAAAGGGGTGGGGGGAGTTTCATTAGGGGCAGAAAGGGGAAGTCAGCCTTTTTCCTTAAACAAGCTGTTATTGAAACTGCAGAATCTGTTGTCTCATTTACAAACACCTGGTGTCTGCAGTGGGGGCAGCTGCTTCTCTTATGCAATCTCTGAATGACTGGCTTCCTGCAACTTTGAGCTTTGGCTCTTTTTTTTTGCGGGGGGAGGGTTGTCCTTTACCCATGATAGGAGTCCATGGGGATTCCTTGAGATTGTACATGCCAGGTGTAGGGCAGATACCTTGCCACATACAGGCCCCTGCTCAGTGCTAAACTACTGTTACTGATGTTTCTGGTTTGGGCTCTCTTATCTAGTATTTTATTGGGGTCCTGAGACCACTGTCAGGCTAGACAGTTTCACACATATTCGGCGTATATTCCTGTCCCTTAGAATCTGTAGCAACTTGGCACTAGAATGTGTTGATGCTCAAGACCCTTTTGTAAAATGGCTGGTGAGATGTCTCAGTGGATGAAGGAGCATGCCTCCAAATCTGGCGACCTGAGCCTGATCCCCAGGACCCACATGGTGGACACAGAAAACCAACTCCCACAAGTTGTTCTCTGACTTCCACACATGTGCCATGACACATGCATGGATACACATAAACACAAAAAATAAATGTAATAAAAACTTCAAATGGTATAACATGCCCTTTGTGGACTTTATGTCATCTCCAGAGGACTATACCCAATGCAATGTAAGTGCTAAGCAAGTAGCGGCTGCGATGTACTATTTAGGGAATGCTGACAGGAAACAGTCTGTATATGTTCAGGACGGATACAGACTTTTAAAAAAAATCCTCAAATGTGTGTGTGCACGTATGTACACGTGTGTGGAAGCCCAAATTTGGTGTTTGATGTCTTTTTCCATGACCCTTCACTTTATTTATTGAGACAGGGTCTCTCAGTTCTTCCTAGAGTTTGTGAGTTAGCTAGTTTAGCTAGCCAGCTTGCACTGGGGATCCTGTCCCTGCTTCCCAACTGCTGGGATCACAAGAGGTTGCCATGCCAGCTTGACTTTAGGGTTCTTGGGATCCAATCTCACACATGCATGACAAATGCTTTTAACTACTGAGCCACCCACCCCCAGACCCCTGGATGCATTAAAACAAAACAAAATAAAACCACTTTTGTTCTGTGACTGAACGAACCTGTGGGTGTGAAACTATGTGTTAGAAAGGGCTGACTGTCCTTGAACTCCATGACTTAGATTTATATATGAGTGACATTAGTGAAGTCCAGAGGACACCCAAGCTTCTAGGAGCTCCCAAAGAGTCACCTAGGGGACACTCCAGTCTTCCAAGATCAAATTGTGATACTATCTGGTTTATTGGGGACAAGTCACATAGGCACTTTGTGGCATTCCAGACTACAGAAGATGAGCAGGTGCTTAGCATAACCACACTGTGTGCACAAGCAGTGTCAAAGAGGGAGTCCCTACATGAGCTATACTCCAAAGCCAAGGTCTCCAACACCAGCATAGAGCCAGCCCTCCATTCAGGCCTTGTAGAGATAGCAGCCTCAGTTCACTCTCTACACAGATATCTTGAGAGATGACTTTGTATTTGGACCACTTGAAATAGGGTGGCACAGATGCTCCATTTTTTACATGCCAACACTAAGGGCTTGGGGGTGGGGTGGGGTATGGGATTAAGGCTGGGCTCCTCCATGTGTGGATTCTTGATATGATGTGAAGTAATGGCAGAGTGGGGGTACCCCCTTCCTTCTAACCATGTGTCCCCCTCTCTTCAGGCTCTCAAGGGCTCCAAGAAGCTGGTGCTGTCTGTGTACTCAGCTGGGCGTATCCCTGGGGGCTATGTCACCAACCACATCTACACCTGGGTGGACCCACAGGGCCGCAGCACATCCCCTCCCTCCAGCCTGCCCCAGCCACATGGCAGCACCCTGAGACAGCATGAGAATGACCGAAGGAGTGCCCTACACCTCCTGCAGAGTGGAGATGAGAAAAAGGTGAGATCTGTCTAAATGGGTAAAGACAGTGGGACTTGGGGAGGCCTTGGATTTCCAAGCTCCATGTACATCCAGGAGCTCCCTCAAGACTAGAAGGAAGGAGCCAGGCTTTGTTACTTCTTTTGAATTCCTCAGTTTGGTCTTCTGGCTTCTGCTTATGAGCTATACGCTGTGCATTGCCTTCTAGGATTAGCTGCTGCCACAAAGTAGTACAAATACTGTGACTTACTGTGAACCTTTCTTCCACAGCAGATTAGAGGGGACCTTCGGGGCTGGTATACAGCTCTGCACTAGGACTTATTCAGGGATGCAAATTCCCACTATCCACTTGCTCCTAGGGTTAGTCCATTCTGGTAGTTGAATCTGGGCCACAGAATGCCCCTGCTTTAGCACCCAGGACAGGGGAAGAGAGAATGCTTGGGGTATGCCTTTACTTGTGAACTTTTTATGTATTGAATTCTTCAGGATCCAGATCCAGGCATGGTCTAGATCATGATTCTGGAAGAGTCTTAGACAGTGGGGGTCTTGGGCTGGAAACAGCAGAAACCAACTTGATTGACTCTGGAATTTGGAATGTTCTAGAAAGGTGTGAGCAATCCAAGAACCAGAGCTGAGAAATTCAGGGTGCATCTGCAGAAGGTTCCCCACCACAATTACCCCATATCCTTCTCTTCTAGTCTTCTATTTCAGGGAGGAAGCATCTTTTTGGCTGGCAGAATGCCCTGAACCTTGATTGACCAGACAACTAGTCCTCTAGCTGGTGGGGAAAGGGGTTCTGTAGCCTGAAAGAAGCCAGGCATCAGCAAATGTCTCCTATAAAGCCTTCTTCCTTCTCCTTCAGAAAGTGAGCTATTTGCTACAGGAAAGAATGAAAAAAATGATTGAAATGCCCTGCCCCAAGCCTTAACCTCTCTGGGTGCTGTTTGCATGGTTCTGTTTGCATTGTGCACTGTGGGTGCTTCTGGGATCAAGAATAACTGTCACTCCAGCCTGCCAGCATCTCTTTTCTGTTTTAGGACCTTGATCCTTACAGACAAGAGACCAAGCTCCTTCCTCCACAGACTTTCTCAGTTCTCATCTTCCTGTCGATAAAATCATAACATTTACTTAAAGTGGTTTGTGTTCTTTGCTCAAACATCCATATGAGGGACATAGGGAGATATCAGTGGCTTGTAGGGAGGTGTTGGTGCCTGGGAGCCTAGCTGGTGTGTACAGGATGGCAGCCAGAAGGCAGGTCTTCATGCCTCCCTACCAGGGACACCTACTTTAGGCCACCCTGAGGCGGGGTTATGGTCAACGCCAGACTTGCAGCAATGGGCAGAGAACCCACTTTGTTGTTTTCTGAAGCTGCTGTCCTGGGCAGAACATGAGTTCAGAGCTGAAATTGCTATAATTTTGTCTGGTTCCAAACTCATGTAAATTGGTTGTACAGGGTACCCTCCTGAATCCTCGAGGCCACCTGCAGGGTATGTAGCACCAGAATCCGAGCCAGAAGGTGGAAGGTAGAGAGGTAAGACAAAGAAAGCCTGTATCTTGGTCCCCTTTCTGCTGTGGCAATTAATGTGCAATTTATAAGGACATGAGATTTGTTTGACTGGTGGCTAGGAGGCTGGATGTTCCAGAGTGTGGCACCCGCACCTGATGAGGGTTGTGGTGCTGGACCACTGCATGGTGACACAAAGTCATCTCATGTCTCTTTCTCATCTCATAAAGCCACCAATGCCATGAATCATAGAAGACTCACCAAGGTATCCTCATCTAATCCTAGTTACTGCCCAAAGCCTCCTTCCTAAATTCCATTAGCATACTAATTTGGAGGTTAATTTTCTATACACTACAATTTAGAATACATATTTATTCATTCTATGGGCAGGGAATTTCATTTTCCTTCATGAAAATGAAATTCCCTGAAGGACTAGAAAGTGGCAAGAAGGGAGGACCTCTCTTAGAAGATGACAAAAGAGCCACTAAGTACCATTTCAGAGCCTGAAAAATCCCAGGACATCAGGACAATATGTGCAAAGGTCCCAAAAAGGACCGAGCTCGGTATTTTTGAGGTATTGAGTGAGGAGGAGGATGGAAGTGGGGACATTAAATAAAGTCCGCACCCTCCACCCTGGGCATCATGGGGCAGCTTACAGAAGAATATAGAAGGTGTGTCCCAGAGACAGGGAGAATGCAAACACCACAGGAGGCAGGATCCACCCCCATGAAAGTCCAGGAGTCTGCCACAGGTGGCACAGCTGAGTGTGTCACAGATTTAAATGGGGCCACACCAGTGTAGCAGGAACGGTACAAGTGATAGTTCTGCTGCTTGTGAACTGTGTGACTTTGGGCAGGGTGTATAACCTGTCTGAACCTGGGGTTCCTCCTCTGTGATACCCCTGGGGAAGCTCCATGGTAGTGAGGTTCTGGTTTAAGCCCTGCTTCTTCCTCAGTCCTTAGTGCCTGGAATAGTGTGGGTGTCGTGATGGGATTTATTTGAGTACAAGCAACATGACTTTGCCTAGAAGCAGCATGGAGGCTGAGTCTTCGCTCCATATCTAAATCTGAATCTGATTGGAGCAGCCTCACACTGTTTAGCTGTGAACCCACCCAGAGAAGAGCTGTTAGCATCTTTGTGGTGGCCTTTAAGAAGCAGCTTTCATTGTGCCCCCAATCCTCTAAGGATGGAAAATACTTCCTGGACCCTGCCAGTCCCATGTTACTCCTAAATAGGAACATGCAGCCAAAGCCAACAGGTCTCTCGGCCTCCACCTTTGGGGTCAGTGACAGTTAATACTGATTGTCAGCTTGACTGGATTACAATCACCTACCTCTTCCAAAGCAATCACGTAGGTGTGTTGGTGGGAGATTGTCTAGATTATGTTGAGTTTGGAACTGTCACCCTAAATGTGAGAGCTACCATTCCATGGGCTGGGGTCCTAGACTACACAAAAAAGAAAAAGCCACCTGAGTGTCAGAGTTCACCTCTTTCATGTGACCAGCTTCTCCCTCTTCCGGTTGCCATGGCTTCCCTGCCATGATGGGCCGTGCCCTCACACTGAACCAAAACAAACCCTTTCTTCCTTAGGTTGCTTTGCCAGATATTTTGTCATAGCAACAATCAAAGCAACTAACACTGGGAAAGTGGGTGGAGACATTTATTTATTTATTTATTTATTTATTTATTTATTTATTTATTTACTGTTGTGATGCTCTCCCTGGCCTCATGTCTGTCTTGAGAATCTGAGAAATCATAGAGGGACAAGAGTAGAGTTCATGTTTTCTGAGGTTTTCCAATTGTGGAAAACCATCATCATCATCATCATCATCATCATCATCACCTTCATGTCCCTATCCCAAGTGCACAGTTTATTCTGTGAGTTGCCTCTCCCCTGCTGTGCACCCAGACTCCTTCCATGTTGCACAGTAAAGTCATGTAACAGCACCCATCTCCAAACCTCAGGGGCAGCATTCTGTTCTGTCTCTAAACTATGTGAGCCTTGGAGGACTGGGTTGTGTTTGATCTTCTGTGACTGCCAGATGTCACCTTGCTTTGTAGTGCCATCATGGTGTGCTTGTGTTTGTAGCATGTGCCAGTATTCCCTTTCTTCCCGAAGTGGAATACCGTTCCACTGTGTCTGGCCTTTGTCATTTAGGGCCACTGTAACATAATATCATGACCTTCGTGGCTCATAAGCCAGATGTGTGCCCTCCCTATTCCAGAGGCCAGAAATCCCAGGCCAAGACATGTGTCTGTGAAGATCGGGCTCCTGGTTTGTAAATGTCACCTTGCAGTGCCCTTGGACAGAGGAGTAGGGATGGCTTCAAGGCTTCTTTTGTGAATATGATAATCCCCATCCTAATGGCTGTCTCCATGACACCCACCTCTTAAATCCTCACCTCTGGATACTGTCGCAAAGGGACTAGGTTTCAGCATTGGTTTGAGGACATAGACCTTCAGTGTGGGATGTAGGAGAAACCACAACTGCTTTGCAGTCACCTGTTGGTGGGCATCTGGCATGGGTCCTTCTTTTATCCACTGTGAGCACTGCCACCATGGTCACGGCACACACATGCATCTTTGTATTTGCCCACTCTCGGTTCTTTGAGCACTGCTGGGCTGCATGGTTCTACAGGTCTAAAATTTGTTTTGTTTTAAACTGTGTCTCATGTAATTCAGGCAGGCCTCAAAGTTACTATGTAGCCAAGGATGGCCTTGAATCCTCACTCTCTTACCTCTACTTACTTGATTTATGTGTATGAGTGTTTTGCTTACATGTATGTATATATGTGTACCACATGCATACCTGAGGCCTGTGGAGGTCAGAAAAAGGTATCAGATCCCCTAGAATTGGAGTGATGGATGGTTGTGAGCCACCCATGTGGGTTCTGGGGACCAAACACAGGTTATCTGCAAGTGTAACAAGTGTTCTTAACTGCTGTGGCCTCCAACCCCTCTACCTTTACTTTTTAAATGCTGGGATTATAGGTGTGCGCCACTACATCTGGCTTCTTTGTTTTCATTTCTGTTTTGATGTTTCAAAAATGTTTTATTAGCATATATTAACTCTACATAATAGTGAGTTTCACTAGGACATTTTCATACATACACGTACATGATGTATTTGGCCATATTTACCTCCCTAACCCTCTCTTGTACCCCTCCCACTTTTACTAGTTCCTTTTCTCTTCCCAGCTAGCCCCACCTATGTATGGAGGCTGTAGGTCTCTCTCACGAAATCTGGAGCCAGCAGGCTCCCTGGATCCTTCTTTCCCTACCAGTTCGTTCCCCGGCTCTGGAGTTACACGTACACACCACCACACCCAGCTTTTCACATGGGTGCTGGATATCGGCACTCCTGCTTGCACAGCAAAGGCTTTAGCCACTAAACCATCTTCTGAGCCCCTGGTTTTGGTTATAAGGATGGGATTTCATGTAGCCCAGGCTGGCTGTGGCTTTCACTTCTACCACTGGGATTGCACGTGTGTGCCCTGTACCTGGCTCGATGTTTCTT